ATCCTCCTGCTTAATTTAAGTCTTTGTTTACTGATTCTGCTTTTATTCTTTTCTCATTGTTCCAAGGTATTACATTTACTGTTATTTTCACAGATTTCTAATAGGTACCAGTTTCTGTAGTCCAGCTCAATGATTAAACTTCTAAATTAAAAACTATTGGTATATGTAACCATAAGTGGGTGTTGTTTGTTTGTTTAAGTGAAATATGTTTACTTCAACTCTTTGTGAAAACTTGGTAAATACTGTTTGACAGTTCCTGTGTACGGTTTTGGGGGGGTCAGGAGGTATTTGTCAGTAAAATCCATAGTGAGGTTAAGTTTTGCAGATAAACCGAAAGGAGGTTGAGGGGGAGGTTGCTTTTGTTTTGTGTTTTGATCTTGTGAAAGTACAGCTGGGTTCATCATGGAGAGCCTTAGTCCATCACTGCAAATAGCTGTGCTGCATGCAGTGCTCTACCTAGCCATTAATCACAGCCTACGAAGTGGAGCTTACCACTCCTACAGCTCTGCTAGTGATAAAATCGCATGACTGCTTTAATCCCCTTCACTTGGAAGTGAGAGGGTTTAGCTGAGGGATGCCTGTTACAGGGAGTAAAAGCAACCTGTCTGCACTTGTCTGAAGCCGGTTAGTGGTCCCATCTGCAAGTGGAATTGGGGAGAACAATATTTGGCAGGCCCATGGTAGTGAAAGGCTAGAGACATTTCTCTCTTCAATTGCCACTACTTGTTTCAGAAGATACACCTGAGGTCTGGTAGTCAGCTGAAAAATGGGGTGGTTTCTGTAATTTCCTATTGCTGATGAGCTGCAAACTAGAACAGAAGGATGTTGTTTCATTGTCCAAATTCTGTAACTGAAATGCTGATTCTTACGCAGATTCCATCAAGGAATATTTCAAAGTTTTTAGCAAATATTTAATGAATTGTATTGTCTGGATTAGAAACAAAACTGCAAGTTGTGTATGCACCATTAACATAAAATTTAGATTGTGCCCTCTGGGATACATGAAATAGTGAGAAGAATGAGAATTTTTTACTTTATACTAGGAGCAAACTTAATTTCCAAAAGATCCAGACCATCATTACCTGATCTTCTAGATAGAAGTTCTTGCTGTTGTTTTACTGGAAAGAAGGCGCAATCTTGTACACCTATTCTGTTCTTCAAGCCAGGTAGATTTGTATAATGTAAAGGTTATAGCATGACAAAGCAAACATGTAGAGTGCAATAGTGTGCCTGAGCAGGCGCTCAGGACAGCATCAGCATTTAATTCCAGTTCATTTTGCTGGTAGTTTCTAAGACTGTAATTAGAAAGGTAAGGGGTTTTTTTTATCCACTGTGTTAACTTTTAAAGTATTCCATGTCACTTGTCAGAAATCTATCAACAATGGTTTTCTAATAAAACTTTCAGGAGTGACTTCAATTGAAGTTTGAAGTCTTGAGGAGAAGACATTAATCGTATATGCCAGGGACATAGAAGCAGTTTAGTGGGGTTTTTATTTGCAAGCTAGGCAATAGTGACCTGGTAATCCTTTGCTGCAAAAAGCTCTGGTAGACATTCATAATTAAGATGTGCACAGCTTGTTGCTCTGCCCCTCTGATGTCAGTTGACAAATCAGGGTATCTCTTTGGAAATAGGGTGGGAGAGGTTGTTGTCCAAATCTTAAATACAGGATTGCATAAAAAGAAAGATCTTGTGCATTTCCTATGAACTCAGAAATAAAGGAATAGAGTATGTTTGCGGAAGTCAACTAAGTACCTTAAATATAGAAGTGCTCTTATGAAATAGTAGTTTTATCTTAATTTATACAATCATTTCTGGTGACGCCAACCTAAATGTTGTAGGACTGTGTAACTTTCTGAAAGGGAACCTGTCTTTGGTTCAGTTTTAGTTGAGAACTTACATCTTTTTTTCTGGGAGTTTTTTAATGCGTTTGAATCTCAGAATCTCAGTTTGATAGTGTGGTGTGGTGGGTGGTTTTTGGTGGTTTTTTTTTGTTTGTTTGTTTGTTTGTTTTTTAACCACTAGGTGTTTTGACTCTTACTTTTAACTTCAGAGCAGTGTTTTGCTACCTAGTCCTAGCACTGATAGGAATGTTAGGGTGGGGAGCTTGGCACTTGCTGTCAGATGTTTTTGTCTCTTTTCAGACCAGATCTAAATTATTTTCTGGAGATGTTTTGGAGATTTCCTAAGTCCTTCACTGCTCTCCTTGGGCAGTTAGGGGAACTAGTGAGCACAGACAACGTAGTGGAAAAAATATGATGAACGCAGGACAGTTAGTCATAAGAGGTTGTTATTTTTGAGTAACTGTCATCTCCTACGGTTTGTGTGTTGAGTAAAATTTTATGATACAACTGGGCCAGTCCAATGGCTTTTTGCCACAAAAAGCTCCCTCATCCCCACACCCATGGTTTTGCTAAGGAAGGCACTGAAAGATACAGCAGTCGGCTCTGGCATTTGTTGATCTTTCTTCCTGAGTCAATTCAGTTGATTAACTGGTTGGATTTGATTTTTGCCTAAAGGAAAAACAGCTTTTTGCTAAATTAATGTGCCAGTTTGGCTAATGGAGGAGCCTGGCTAGTGCAAGAGCAACAGAGTTTTGGGAGAAGGCATGGAACCTCTTCTCCTGGCAATGAGCAGTTCGGTCATCTCAGCTGCACTGAAAGGTCATAGCAGGTGATCAGAAATAAACTTAAAGCCTATTTGCTACCGTCTTTTATGTGCTTTTTAAAGAGGTAAACTATAAATCCGAAGTTCTGCTGTCAGAGCAAGAATTCTGAGAAATGGTGGATATAAGCCACTGGAGAAGATAATGATTGGATGCTAAAGTACGTGGGTTTTGGGGATGGGGTTGTTTGTGGTGGTTTTTTTTGTTTGAGGCTCCACGTGCCAATCAGAAGCTATTCAGTCATGTGATGCAAAACAAGAAGTTTAACAGAAGTTTATCCTGCTGGTTTAATTTCTTTTTTTTTTTTTTTTTTTTTTTTTTTAAAAAGGTCAGCATTAACCTTTTACTGGCTCCATTCCAGAGCATGTATGAATCTGGAGTAAAAGTAAAAACCTTGTGCTCTATAATGTGATAGAAGTGTGATTGTTAGTTCTCATCCCTAATCTGAATTAGATAGGTAAATGTACAGATCTAATGCTAATAACAAGTCAGGATGGGACCAGAGGGATAGGCAAATGAATTTCAAAGAAGCCTTTTAAAATGATCTATGCTAAAGTATTGAGAAATTATCTGCTCCTTGATGTACTGTGCTAGTACTTTCAGGTAATCATATGTAACTCTTATCTGTGAAAATAAGCTTCCAGAGTAGTTTAACTCCATTAAAACATGTTTTTACATCGAGGTTATCTGAGTTTTTGCTGCCATGGTTGCACTTTCATGCTGGTACTTGTCAGATCTCTCAGTGAGCTGGGCTGGTTTGTTAAGCTGTCAGGAGACTAACCAAAATGTATAATTTTCTGCTCAGTTAGCAAGCTAAAGTAGCTCATTATAGGCTCAGATGTGTGGTAATACCAAAGCAGGAAGGAAGGTGAGGCCATACATGAGTGATTTAATTTCCTTGCACTGTCCTGATACTATACTCTTAGTGCTTTTTCCTGGGAATTTGGAGAACTTGGAGACAATCGTTTCTGCAATTTTTAGGAGCCTCTCCCTAGTCTGTGTTATTTAAAAAAAAAAAAAAAAAAAAAATTGTTTTAAATACAGTTTAGGAGAAACCATAGTTATGCAAGATAAGCTATTTGAACAGTTGCGGAAGGGTATGTTTATCTATACGTATTGACTAAATAATCATATTGTGTACTATTGGTCTTAATTTTTTGCATAGAGACTGCTTGGAATACAGACTAGGGTGATGTAAAACTTGAAATCCCGGTGACTAAATAACTGATATGAAAAACAGTTTTCTTTGACCCCCATCTTTTTCAAACTTGCATAGTATGTATTCCTTGCTAACAACTCTGTATGTACCCAGTCTTAAAGTTTTAGTTCTACAGAGTACCTGGATTCTTCCAGTACAAGAATGGATCTGTAGTAAAAATCATGGAAAACAGTATAGCTGTAAGTAGCTATAAGAAAAAATATATAGCTATAAGCAGCTATAAGAAAATTGAAGTCTTATTGTACTGTAATATTGCTACTACACCATTACTGTCAAATAAAATTTGCACAAAAGCATACCATGATTGCATGCACAAGTGTTAATTAGGTTTGTTCCCTGCATCAGTGCTGAAATACCATTTTACCTTCTGTGATGTAAAGCAATTAAACATCTACTTGTTTAACACCTATCAATATCTGTTTTCATGTATAATAATAAAAATCCAGTAATTATAGTTCAGTAAGTGAATATTACTTGGCTCTCTTTAGAGGCAGTACATCTTCATATTCTGTTGTGAGTATGTCATTATCTCTCTTTAACAACTTAATCAGTGTTTCTGTGCTTCTTATGTTTTTTCCTCTGTTAAGTGGGAATAATGATCACTAGATTAAAAAACACTTGATTTTTTTAATTTGTTTTCAGCTGTTAAAGTGTTGGGTTTTTTTTAAATCAAATGAAATCAAGTGAAAATGTTTCAGTCTTTCTCTTACAGTTTACATTTATTAAGATAATTTGTGTTAAAAGTTACATTCTTTAATTATTTTTGGAGGAAATTTGCCATATCAATTTTGTGTGGATTCTAGTTGAGTAGAACTTGACAGACAGTGAATTGATTTTGAAATGTACTGGCTCTAAACAGTACTGTGGTTGGGAAGGAGAACCTGAATTAAGCCATCTCAAACTAAAGAGAGTTCTCTTATTTTCTCTTTTATAGTTTGTATTGCTATCACTTGGTAGTAACTAGCTTCCAGTGAAGTGGTTAGTTGCTTCAAAACAATTTGAGTGCTAAATAAATTCATGCAGGAAATATTTTTTATCTTTGAAAGTATATTCAGCAGTTGCTAGTGCATAACATATAAAAGCAATGAAATTGTTTACCTTTTCCTTAATGTGAGCAGTATTAATTAACATTCTTCCCTTTTCTCTAGTTAAAGTACCTCGTAATTTTCGCTTGTTGGAAGAACTTGAAGAAGGGCAGAAAGGAGTCGGTGATGGTACAGTAAGCTGGGGCCTTGAAGATGATGAAGATATGACACTCACCAGATGGACAGGAATGATTATTGGGCCACCGAGGGTAAGTGTGATGAATTAAAACGTTTTTCTTAGGTTGTAGGTAATACAAAATGCAAAAAAAAAGATTACTTTGCTACGGTGTAAAGGAATTAGTTAAAATTGAACGTATGAAGTTGTAGAAACACTGTATATTCATGTTGAATTCATCGCTTCCTGGCATGTTAGTAAGTGTTTTCAGTCTAGCCTCCCCTAGTACATGTTTCTGCAGCTGTCTGTGTAAGCCAGTTGTGATTTGAGCCTTATTACTGAGTTAGGAATATACTCAGTTTGTATTTCCATCATTACTGCGCATAAGTGTACAGTGATAGTACAGTAAACAGGGTAACTGTCTTTCCACAGTTTATCATATGTGCCTAGTAATTTCAATTCTGTAGCAAACTGAGAATGTATTTTCAACTTTCACAGCTTTTATCAGTCTTTCAGTATAGCAGTTTATGCAATTCAGTTGAATCATGCCTAAAGACAAAGCAGTTTTTAATTACCTCAAGAAAGATAAAATACATACAGAAAGTTCAAATCCTTCTGACCTTTTAAGTTCTGTAGAATGTCATCTAGGCTGATAAAACCTGCAAAAGAAGTAATCATCTCTAGTGTCTGAGTATCAGCCTCATCAGATACGAGTGGACACATCTTTGCTTGATGTGTAACTTTTGTGCACGCTTTCTCATGAGTTACAATATGATACAAGAGATCATTGTGTAAATGAGAACTTTAAATGAGTATACTTCAAGTAGCTCCAAGTTAGCATGTGTCTTTCACTGCTAACATGAGGTTACTATCTTGTGTGTCCTTCAGTGCTGGAGAGCTTATTGAAAGAACTATCCAAGACAAGAACTGAGATCAGAAATTGGCCTCAGCGAAGATAATGTGTTCCAGAGTAACAGTTAGATTCAGTGTAATTCAAGCTCCTTTTGGAAGTCAGAGTTAGTTGTAACTTGCAGGAGACTGTTTTGAACATCTGCATAATTGTGCTGAGCTCCTAAGATTTGGATGCATTTGAGAGAGAACCAATTTAAAATATAAGCGTCGTGATGGTATGCTTTGGATACAAGCTTCTGTGGAATCACAGTGTTTGAATACATTTTGAAGAAAGTTTGTAATCTTACGGGTTTTGAAAAGAACTTGCAAATTGGAGCTAAGTAAAGTAGCGACTCCCTGACTCTCCAAACAGCCTGTGACTGGTTTCTGGTTCAACCTGAGGTAGAATCCTAAGACATCTTTGAAGGGAGTGATTATTATGTAGGAGCCCATATGTTTTGAAAAATAAAAAAAAACAGCCTCGGATGCACTTTTAATTCTGGTCAATTTATATTGCTGTTACTTTATTTTCTTTATGAAAGAGTGCATGCAAGTAATATTTTAGGCCATTACAGGGACATGCAGTCTTGCTGACAGAATGACTTGCAGTACATGGTGACTGTAGAAAGTGAAAGCCACCAGCTCCCAAGCCAGTGGTGGTACTTTGATGAGAAGAATTGCATATCCAGTTTTAGAGTTTGTAGATGATGAGTGTTTTTGGAATTGGTTGAGTTAGGTAGACAATGTGCAGTTAGGCAGAACACAGAGAAAGTTGCCAATACAGTCCACATCATGAATTTCTTCACATATGTGGCTTCTCTAGAGCTGTGCAAAAATTGCTTATCAATTTTTTTTCTTGCTTCATTTGAAGGGTGAGCCAGTATGGAGGGGGAGGGGAAGATTTGTTTTGGATTAAAGGAAACATTTTTCTGACCCTGAAAAAATGGGGTTTTTTTTAGGCTGTTGGGGGAGCTAGCCAGGGATGCTTGGCTTGCAGTAAAACAGTGACTTGAAAAACTGAGCAAAATTGAGAAGCTGCCTGGATAGGAATAAGGGAATGAGAATGAGTGCTGTTAGGATTTTTCAGAGTTGTGAGCCGTGTATACACATTTTGGCCTGTTTCCACTATAACTGACAGCATCCCTCTCTGGGGAAGTAAATTGTTTTATCTGAATAATGAGAATTTTTCTTACTGTGTTTTCTTCCTGTGGTAGCAGCTATGTTACCTGTAGCAGGACAAGATTACTTTTATTGGGCCTTTAGCTTTTAATGGGAAAGAATAATAGAAAACCGTTTTTTTAACAAAGGATGTCCTGCTTCGCCTTGTTTCTTTCTGACACACTTGCTGCTCAATCTCTGTGGCTTTTTGAAATTATAGGAAACAGTCAGGGTCCTTCAGTAGTCCGATTTCCACTCTGCCTTTTAATTGACCACAGAGTGGACTGTCATTTGATAACTTGACTGCATGGTTGATACTTCTACCTGGAGAGAGTGACAGCTGGCTGATGCAGAACAGCTTAAAGATGGTACTTCTGGGAAGTTCAGAGGCATGTAACTGCTTTGAGTTCATGTTAGCTGTATCTGTTGTGCCAATGGAAAGACAGGTGTAGAAACTGGGTTTATTTTTCTTTTGGAGAACAGAGGCATGTACATCAGCGACCAGCAGAGCCACTGACATTTTTTATTATGCATGGCCTACTTGACAAGGTTAAAAAAAAGATAGAACCGTATTCATTTCTAATTGGACTTTCTCAAAATACATTTCCACTTAGAATGATCTGTTCCATGGTCACTTTGGAGTGATGTCTGCTGCAAACTAGCTGTCACTTTACTGTCCAAAGTTTATAAATCCTCTAGTAAACCAAGCAATCCGCAGCTATGGAAGTTTTAGATATCTTCTGGAGTGTTAATTACTTCTAGAATATGTTTTTTGCAAATACTGTTTTCATCTTGTTCTTGGTTGTGTCTTAACTGTTGGGTTATTGGCATCTTTGTCTTTCTCCATTTCCAATTTTTTTGCAGTGTTAGATTTTTTTTTTACAAGGGAAGGCGGTAAAAGATTATAGATTTTTCTCTCAGCACCCTACTGTGCCAAAGTTGTTTTGGGAATGCAGGTGGGTAGGAGGGATAAGAGTAAATTAAAGAGAATTAAAAAAAGAACTGTATTCTGTTAAAACTGTTGTATGGTACAGTCAATAAGTAGTGTAATTTATACATATTCATCAAGTAATCAATATAACCAAAACAGCGGAATATCAATCAGTAATCCAAGACCATCAACTGGTACATAATATTAACAGATTTATAATGATTTCATATCTCTTCATCTTTATTCCTCTTGCCTTTGCTTTGTTTTTTTTTAATTAATATTCAGCTTTCGGTAAGATGCATTAGTCTGTCTTTTTGCTTTCTAGACAAACTATGAAAACAGAATATACAGTCTGAAAGTAGAGTGTGGACCTAAATATCCAGAAGCACCTCCTACAGTTAGATTTGTAACTAAAATTAATATGAATGGAATAAATAATTCCAATGGAATGGTAAGTTGAAATGGTAAGATCAATCTGTACTATAAATTATTTCTGTGTGTTGTGGTTTAACCCAGCAGGCAGCTAAACACCACATAGCCATTCGCTCACTCTCCCCCCTGCAGTGGGATGGGGGAGAGAATCCAGAAAAAAAAAGTAAAATTCATGGGTTGAGATAAAGACAGTTTAGTAGGCCAGAAAAGTAAGGGAAAATAATAATAATGATAAGAGTATACAAAACAAGTGATGCACAATGCAATTGCTCACCACCCGCCGACCAATGCCCATCCAGTCCCCAAGCAGTGGTCGCTGCCCTCCAGCCAACTCCCCCAGTGTTTGTACTGAGCATGACGTCATATGGTATGGAATATCCCTTTGGCTAGTTTGGGTGAGCTGTCCTGGCTGTGTCCCCTCCCAGCTTCTAGGTGGCAGGGCATGAGAAGCTGAAAAGTCCTTGACTAGCATAAACACTACTTAGCAACAACTAAAATGTCAGTGTGTTATCAACATTATTCTCATCCTAAATCCAAAACACAGCACTATACCAGCTACTAGGAAGAAAATTAACTCTATCCCAGCCCAAACCAGGACAGTATCCACCCCTTATTCTATACCATCTACATCATGCTCAGGTCTCACACTTTCCAATACATTCCTATTAATCACCACCACTTTTCCTGTCTTTTGATATATACACAGAGATATCATTCCCTTTGTTTATGGGCCATCCCTCTAAAATGTCCGTTGAGTTTATTTAGTCCATGACTCTGGGCTCCATCTGTCATAACAGTCCTTCAGGGCACGAGAGACGGTGTGTGGTGTTGGATTGTTGCATGTTGAAGCCAATTCCGGTTCCATTACATTTTGATTGCCTACTACTTCAAATCTTTAGGTATTTCCAATATGTTAGTGATTCTTAGTGGCTTATCAATGAGATGAGAATTCTTTATAGTATTGAAACAGTTGTTTTGTTTAAATGAAGCTGAAGATTTTAGTTTTGAACAGAAAAAAAATAAGTTTAAGCCGTGTGTAGGTATTTCCCTTGTAATAATCTTATAAAAGGGGATTAGATTCATATTGTAACAGGAGTACTACAAACTTTATCTGATGTTTCCATTAATTAAAAATGGAGGTTATTCTTGGTGAGTCTCACTCTGGATGTAGTGACTCACCTATAATGAACCGATGTATTTAAACTCTTATTTTCTTTATAATGGGTTTATTCAAGGTGATTCTGAGCTTCAGTGTTTGTTAAGATCTTTTGATATAGATGGTAATCACTTTCATTTTAAAGATCAGTTCACGTACATGAGCAATGGCAGCAGCTCAAGCAAGATTGTTACTCCATAATTCACTAGGTACTTTAGTCCTGTGAATAACTCTGAGGTAACCCATTGCTCAGTGAAAAGAGATGTGAGCTGTCTTGCATTTTTAGGAAATACAATAATATATCATACTTGTCTGTGTGTACCTTTGTCGCTAGTGAATGCAAAGTAATTGGGTTAAGGTTATACTTAGAAGTGAGTCAGAGAGCATCTCTGGATTTTAAATAATTTCCAAAATTTATAAGGGAGGTGGACTTGCATTTGTGTAATTAACAGTACTGAAATGTGAAGCTTAAGTATCTCAATGACTGTAGAGGAGGGAGAGTTTCTTAGGGGTTTGTTTGAGCTGTTGCAGGTGGTAGGATAGTGTACTGTTTGGTCATCCAAAGCCAGTGCACTAACACTTCAGAAATAATCTGAAATTAATTTGAAACTACGTCTTGCATAGCCAACAACTTTGCTCTACTTGAAGATCTTATTAAAATTGCTATCTACAAACCAGCTGTTGCCCTTCATCACAACGGTAGCTTGTGGCCTAAGTGTATGTGTTTATTAAGAGGTTGTGACTAGCAGAAGCTGTCAATATGGAATGCAGCACAGCTTTTGGTATGTTTATAATATTATTTTCATACCTCTCCCTAGTAATGTGTATTATTCTGAATCAGTAAAGACGTATGCCCTCATTGCTTCATCTGTGCATGCCTGAGAGTATAGGTGTTGGTTTCCGGAAGCAGAATCTCAGACCTGTAGAGCCTGAAGGCTCGTGTTTACCGAGTCAGTCGGCTTGAGCTTTTGTTTGGAGAAGTCTACGCTCCCTCAGCTTGCTGAGGAATGGGGTGAATACTGTGACAGGAAATCTGCCTGGTGGTTTTAAAAGCACTGTTAAAATCCAGTTGTCGCTACAGGAAAATTTGATATATACAAAACCTTAATTCAGTTTTTCCCCAACAGTTCTGTAAACTAGTACATCTTATGAAGGATTTGCTGTGCAAACACATAACTTTTTTTTTTAGTGGATTTCAATAGGACTAGATAGTATTTTTAATGAAAAACTAATAGTTTTCATAACTAATGAATTTAAAACTCATTTATTATGTAATTTTTAATGTACCCATTGTCCTGGTATCTTGCGTTTTAGCTTATGTTGCCATTGTGCTCACTAGAGTTGTGCCAAATGTGTCAGAATAAACTGGAGGCACGTTCAGCATCCCTGGAACAGTTCATGTTGCTGCCTCCTATTTTAGTTCCTTTGTGTTTCATCCAAGCTGCTGTCTCACTTTCTGATCGTCTTTCACATAATAGAGCGTAAGCGGTTTTCTGCATTCTCTCAATGAATGACAGGGTTTCATCTTCAGGCTACTAGCCATGCTTCTGCACCCTGTTTTTTGACATGTGGCCAGCTTTTGATCACATTGCTTAAAGTTGAAAAAGTTGGTGACTTGCAGAAAAGAGACCTGAGATAAATAGCAACTGAAATTGTGTGTTGTATCAGTATTATCATACTACTCAAAACATTTGTAACATTGTTAAGGAACACTTTACAGGAGGTATGTGCCAGTTAACACCTGAGGAAAAGTAGAGCCCCCAGTATGAGTTTAGAGGGTGATAATTTCTGTTGAGTTGGAGTGTGAGTGGTGGAGGGGGGAGATGGATATGTGCTAGAGTTAATGGTGGTCTAAGGAAGCTAGTCTCAGACTGCCTTGTTGGCAGTGGTTCTCAACATTCTTGACTTACAACTCCCTTTATGCTTTGCATGAAAAGTGCACGTGTGTAATAATTTAACCATACTGACAGTTACAAGTTTATTGACTTTTTGTTTGATTATTCAGAGAGGAGTTTTGCTTGTAAGTAACTTTTCCAGCAGCAGTGTATCTTCAGGGATCCCAGAGATCGCTGTTTGATAAATTTAGTGCAGGAAAGGAGAGGGCTACTTCAGGAGTATTTTATCTCAAAAGACTAAACTTAAGTGCTCTGAGTCACCCTGTTAAATTGCCTTCCTTTTCTTATCTGCAAGTTAGTTTTTGTGGTTTTCTGCTTTTCAATTTGCCTATGGAGCTACTGCGTTTGTATACAGAATTAGGGTACTAAGTTCAGAAAAGCTAGTCCAAGTACTTATGTGGGGTTGGACAAAATGCCCTTTTGTGCTAATGGCATCACTGTTGTAAAATTGTTTTTAAATTATCATTCTTAGTGCTGTGGGGTCTTTTCTCTTGGAGACTTGTGTATCCTGTATTGATAAAACACAGGTTGCACTCTGACGTGCTATTTACTTTCCCATGGTCTTTTGAGGATGTCTGATTTTTGCATCTGTGAGGGTGCTCTTCAGCAGTCTATCTTACAGGATTTGCAATCACTTCTGTTCATTTAAGTACCATTTACAGCTGGAAATATTTGTTTCTTTTAAACTCACTTGGGACTCTGGCAGCTATAAATCTGTAAACTCTTGTCCACTTACTGCTTTGAGTATGTTTATTGTAGACTAAGCAGTTTGCTACTTCTTAAAGTTAAGATATTGGGAACATTATAAACAGTGAATACTTTGCAACGTTGTATAAAATCATTTATTTTAATTTCAATTGTTTAGAAAAAAATTATGCATTATACATATTGCTTCTCCTGCTATTATTTAAAGATTTACAGTGGTGTACCCCCAGAATAAAATAGTCTTCAGGTTGCTGTTTTCAGCTTTATTAGTTTTTACGTGACCTTGAAATTTCTCCCTCTGTGTCCCAGGATGTGTATTTGAATATTGCCTAATGCGTTTGTGATTTGAACATCGTTTGTGTCATTCTTCCAAATATCTTATAATTGTTCTTCATAAAGTGAATTTATTGTGCACTAACTTGGAAATAAATTCTGCAACACAGAAAACAGACCCTAAGCCAAAATCTTTACTGCTGCAAGATGTCATGAAAAAAGTTGGTGACTTGCAGAAAAGAGACTTGAGAGAAACAGCAACAAAAATGTCGTGTTTAGCAGTCTTTACTCAGAAAACATTCATAACGTTGTTAAAGCAGAGTTTACAGTCTGTGAGTTTGTTGCTACAAATTCCCAGCCAAGAAAGAAAAGCTGGAGGAGCTTACTTCTAAGTGATCAGGTCTCATATTCCAGTACAGCCAGCGTATGTGGAATTGTATTATTTGAACAGCACTAGTGACTGACTGCTATGTGCTGTAATTGAGGCAGATCTCCAGACTTGAGAAAGCCTGCAAAGGCACAGTTGAGGAGAAGCGAGGAAAAGGAAAACGGTAGGAAAGCAGAATTGCCAGGCCAAAGACGTTCATTTGGGGAGTCCCAGAGCAACTGCCTTTCCAGCCATTTTTTGCTAACCCAGTCTTTATCTGAACAGATAATGATATTAGTTTTCTTTCTCAAACCTACCGAAATCTAAACCTACCTTTTTCTTCTTATCCTTGTTGGTTTACCTGTGGTCTTCTAAAACAGTTTATTATCACATGGGCTTCCACCCCCAAGTGCACGTCTTTCCTCGTTAGGAATCTTCTGTTGCAACCATTACCTGGTCCTTGATAGTTGTGTACTGTGGCTTCTTTCCCCGCTATTTTTCTCGGGGATTATTGAATTTTTTTTTTTTTTTTTTTTTTTTGGTCAGGTCAGTAACATGTAATGTGATTTCTCCTCAGCTACTTTAGTAGAAAGTATTGTGATTCAGATTAACATGGAAATTTTTTAAACTACTGGTCTGCCAAAGGACTTACACCAAAGCATTCAGGGAGTACTCACATTTTGTTCCATTTTGCTAAGTTGAAGAGGATGTCAGGTTAGCCGCAGAGAAGTATTAACAAATGTTAGTAAGTGTGTCTGTGCGTGAGAGGGGGGGAAATAAGCTCTTAAACATCTGCAGCTATATGCTAAGTGAACATAAAATCTGAGCCCTTGTTTCTTCTGTTACCATGATAGTTAACCACCATGAAGTTTTTCTTCTTTCTGTAGGACTGCATGAGGAAGAATGGTGGTCTCATGCATTTCTCATGGCATTTTCTATATAGAGAACAGTTTTGAGTAGTGTGATATTTACTATTCTAACTTTTGAAATGAATTCATATTGTTCCTAGTTTGCTGGGTCCAGCTCTTTGGATAGAAACTCTGGAGTGTCCTTTAATCTTACCTAGAAAGATTGGAGAGGAAGAGATCTGTAAGAGCTTGGTACCTCAGAACAAAGATTCAGGCTAAATGATGCCTTACTTAAGCTGCTACTTGATAACACAGGTGATCTCTTATCAGAATTTCCCTTTTACTCACTGGTGGTTTTATCTAATAGTCTGCTTTTTAAGAAAAGAGAACCTGTTTTCTAGTTGCAAAGATTATTCTGCTCTGATACTGCCTCTTTTATCTACCATATTAAACCAAATACCCCTTTAAAAAAGTAGTAGTAGTAGTCCAGGAATTACAGTGATGGCCTGACCAGTGTTACTTTCAAAACCTTTCTGTATTAGCTCATCCATTCATGCGTGTTTTAAACAGGCATGATCTTGCTGCATAATGGAGCTTTCCTTTTGATGCTCTTTTTCTTCCTAATTTATTCATGTTTGCAATAATTATTAAGTAATCTGACTGCCTTCTATACTATGGTTTGATGGTATGCTGTCTTTGGCAGCTCTACTGACTTTAAGGGGTTCCCGACTCTAAGCAGAATGTTATTTGTGTGAAGAGAAATGCTTATAGTGCTGAGCTGTGAATTGAATGAAGGATCCTGCTTAGGCACTTCTTTCCAAGGTGTTTTTTTAAACTGGGTGGGTTCTACCAGTTCAGGTCAGAAAGTAGCTCCACATACATTTCATGCTTCACCTGAGCTGATAGGCAGTAGCACTGTTAAAGGAACAAGTGCCTAGTGAGAGGGAGCAGAAGTTTCTTGGGTTAGTACTGCTGCCCAAGCCAGGATGTTGTTAAACCTTGGGCTCTATTTCCTCTTACAAAAAGGTTTAGTCTCATCTGGTGGTCTGAAAATAGACAGCCTCACTTCGAACAATCTAGAAATAAAACGTCTGTGTTAACCTTCTTATTTCTGATTCCAGTGTTGTTTTTTCTTTCAGTTTGCCCTAATTAAGACGGGATAAGAAACTTCTTGATGTTTTATGCTGTCTAAATCATAAAGCAGTGGTTTCCAGCACTTGTAGCCATGTGGGCTGCCTGTGCTACTCCACCAATGGAATTCAGTAGTGTGCAATAGCCCTATTCCTGCCCGTGGGCCTGCTTTGCAGTTGCACAGCTGTAGGTCCCTCTGTCTTCTTAAATTCCTCCTTACAGGGGCTGGGTGGCCAGGACTTACCTGCTGCCAAAACAATTCCCAAGCTGACTTTCAATTGCTGACTTTCCTATGGAAACCTCCTTGTTATAATATAATTGTGTAAATTGTCCCACAGGTTTTATAAACGCATAGGAGAAGTCCCATGTCCTTTCCTTTCAGTTCATATTCAAATTGGTAAGTGATGTACAGTAATCTTCACAGCTCCATAAGATGACTTACTGTAAGAAGGATGCAAAGAACTAAGAAATGTCCAGACATTATGAATCAGTTATTTCGATATTTCAAGCCATTTCTTAGTATATGTAGTGACTCTTGATGTATCAGAAGCATCATGTAGTATCGGTGTGAAATAAATCACTAACGATACTTGTAGCAAGGGAAAAACAAGTGAAATTTTCCTTTAGAAAGGTATTCTACGGACTCTTGTGTGGCAGGTTCTTTTAAAGAACTGAGGAAACTCACAAGTGTATATATTGGCATAACGAAGGAGGTTACTTTTTTCTTTTTGGGAGGTAATTTGAAACAAATTAATAACTTTTAGAAGATGTGGCTTCAGTTTTGCAGTGAACGGTTTGCTGATCTCCTCCCCCCTTCCCCACCCCTTTCCTTCTCACTAATATTAGTATCAGCACAGATGGAAGGGTCACCTGCATGGATTTTATGGCAGAATCTGTTTCTGTGTGTAAGTATGTGATTGTTTTCCTTAAAATATTTTGTGAACACAGGGACTTTATGCCACAAAGAAAGTGTCAGGGAATGCTTAGACTCTTTCTTAGAACAATTAGGTCAATAGTAGTTACGTAGAGATTTTATATTTCATCGTGACTTATAACTCCCTCTTCTTTTTCCAGGTGGATGCACGGAGCATACCAGTGTTAGCAAAATGGCAAAATTCTTATAGCATTAAAGTTGTACTTCAAGAGCTAAGACGTCTAATGATGTCCAAAGAAAATATGAAGCTTCCACAACCTCCAGAGGGACAAACTTACAACAATTAATTTTAGCTGATTCTCAAACTTCTGTCTTAAAACAACAACCTTCTACTCATGTTAATGTCTTGATTAAATCTCACAATGCAAACACCCACACATTAAAAGAATTTCAGCTGGTATACATGACCTGGACATTGTAAGAATATATATATTATATGTATGCCCAATATGTTTTCAGGCACTATGGGAGAAAAAGGCAGCACAATTATTTTTTTTCTCTTATCGAGGCACTGTCATTTAAGTATAAGCCTGAAATAGCCTAAAATTGGAATTCAGGTTTTACAAGATGAAAGCATGACAGAAAGTGTCAGATTGCTGTGGAATAATATATGTTTCTGAAAATAATCTCTTGAGAAGGCAAAATATAAATGGCATGCTTTATCCATCTTGCTTAGTAAAAGAGCTGCAGTTAAATTTGTTTTAAAGTAGCAGGTACAGTGAATACCGTTGCTCATCTTGTTTAATTTTGCAAGGGTGTGGGTGCCGACTACTAGTAGTGTCACAAAGTATGTTCAGGATTGTTTTGATACCTGTATTTATAAAATGGGGGGATTAATTTCTGTTAAGCAGCTCCTGTGTGTTACATGTATCGGACATGGCAAATATTTGTTTACAGTCTTTGTTCTAATAAACCATGCATTTAAGTTTTAGTGAAACAAAGGAAATGTATGGATATGTGATTGAGATTAAAGTTAGTCTTAAAATGTAAATAAAATGTGGAAAGTGTCTGAGGCTGTGCCATTTCTATAATAGTGATGTAATATATGTACAGTAACTTGCAGAAGTAGTGGAAAGCCAAACATAATATTGCTGCTGGTTTTACGTGCACCTTTTATTCTTACACTTTTGTATGCTTAGTTTACTTGAGAGGTCAAGGTATTCCGTTTTTTGCAGAGGAGTAAGTTCTGTCATCTGTAGTACCACTTCTTTAGATAAGCTTGCACTGTGTGTGTGTGTGTATGTGTATATATATATTTTTAAAAACCCCACAAACAATCCCCCAAACCAACTCCAAAATAAAAACAAACAAAAAATTGCCTTCACCTCCCCTCCAGATTCTTTTGAGAAATGAGCATAACTTTCACTTTGCTTACTTGACCTCGGAGCAGTTTTCAGACCACATTGCTGAAGTCTGTCCTACTTCTCAGTCCTTTCTCTTGCTTTTGCAGTTGCTGCCTTGATTCTTGCTTTCTTGCATCTTTTCCTCTTTTATGTTTCTTGCCTCTTCTTTCTTGTCTGTTCCACTTTTGCCTTTTCTGAAACACACAAAAAAGAATCTTCAGGAAGCTTTAATGAAAATGACACCTGTGATACAGATGATCATATTTCCATCTGCATTTCGTGTATCATATGCCATGACACCACTGTCTTTGTAGCTAGAGTGCTTTCTGCCTCTCCTGCAATTGTCGGTCTGTTTTTTCAATGTATTCTGTCTGGTGGGAGCACTGGTTTTAGTTCTGTTACTGATTTCTCATAAGTAGTTAATGCTATTCTTTTGGAAATTATACCTTCTTTCCCTGCCCCCCCCCCACCCCCCGCCTTGGAAAATGCAAGCCTTTGTTCGTTTTGGTGAGAACATGTAACATTGGGAGCGAGTCAGCTATTTGCATTCAAAATTTTATTTAGTGGTTCTTTTGAAAAAGTGAATATAATCAAAAGCCATCAACAGCCAGGTAGTGTTCTTTGATATGCCTTTGCCTATTTCTGATGTAAAGAATGAACCTTTAAAAGCAATAAACTAGGTGTTCTTTTTTTTAATGGAAAGGTTTAATTAGTATTTGTCACTTTATGCTTTTTAGACAAATTGGGCACTTCCAGAATTGGTGGATTTGTGGCTGCCAGCTACCTCGTATCTGTATTTATATAACATATCATTTGTGTCGGTTTGGCTGAAGTGCATTGCAACATTTTCTTACTTGATTTAATTTGAATTATTTTGATGCCATTAAATCTTTTTTCTTACACTAACACTGCTAATCTATATGTAATCAATTAAAATAATGGAACTGTACAGTTCTGAGATGTGAATTTTTGGGAAAATTTCAGCATAAACTGCTGAGACAGTAAGAAACGCTCGTAGACTATTATATGGTTGGTAACATAATTTAAGAGACTGACTTACAGAGCATGAAAAAGGGCTGGTTGTTCGCTTGGTTGTATGTGGTGCAAGTTGATCCTGCAACAGCTATTTCTCCTTGTCTGTACTCTAACCATTTGTATCTGTGAAAATCTGCGTGTCCAGCTGTAAGCAGATACATTTTGCAGAAAAAAAAAAAGTGGTGGAGGGATCTCTGACACCAGGGTATGTAATGTTAAGGATGACTAAAAAGATTCCTGTAGTGATTTTAAGTGTGTTGGGTTTCCATTTTGCTCACACTGGAAGAAGTCTAAGTATAATTAATTATGAAATTTAAAAATGTTTTTGACTACTGCATAAAGTTGGGAGCCTCCCCGAAACTCTTCTATTACCTGTAGAAGATTTTCAGCAGTGCTGCTTACTCACCTCCGGAAAAGTAACGTTGTTTTACATGTATTCATGTCTGATCAGTGTTTACGAAGTAATTTGTTTTCTCATGTTCTTGTGGTTTCTCTTGGGTAACCTGCTTAGATGCTAGAATTTTAATTTTCCTCTTACAAGTATTTAGTTTGTGTTATGTTCTTTTAGAGAGATTTGGATTTGCTATTGTTAGCAAATGTGTATTTTTTTCTTCTCAAAACTGTATTTGTGCATCTTGCAAAGTAGAGCACCATTGTGTGAGGGGGAAAGTGCAAAAATTCTAAATATAATGTTTTTTTCAGATTGCATTTGAAAATTCATATCATGTTGGTGGTCATCAACTGGGATTTAAACTAGCTTTGGGCTCTGAAGCATTGCCAAAGTTCTTGTGTTTTGGTTGTTCGAGGGAGGGATAAGCTTACTATGAAGCAAGGAAAAAAACCCAAAGATGGTTTTTTATGATTCATGCTTTGTAAACCTTAAGATACAATGAGCAAGCGTATGGAAATATCCACGTTACAAATAATGTGCCTTACTCATTAATAAAATAAAGTACATAAAATGTTGCAGGGTGTGCACTTACCAACTGCTTTGATTGTGCTCATCTTCCTGAAAGCAAGTTGAGAATACTTGACACCCAGCAAGACAGTCAGGAATGAATCCCTCAACTATTATGAAATGAATGCATAATCCACGCTCCTCCTAAATGTTTGTTATTGTATAGGGGATACCTAAAGGCAAATTTTAGTGCATCCTAAGACAGTCGATCAACTATAATAATAATAATAATAATAAACTGTGTAATTTAGACAAGTATTTGTTTTACATGGTTACTTATATGGTGAGTCTGTGGAAATGTATATCCTATTTGGTAGCTTTTGAGACAATAATTCAGGGCCTAAAAATATTTATTATACTTCTCTTACACTACCTTTTGATGCAGAAGGCTCATATAGCAGGCCACCTGGTAATCAGTCTATGACAGAGGCAGGATGGCTGACTGCTGCTTGTTTTCATTCTGACCTCTAGTTTTTGAAAACTCAGCCAGATTGCCCCTGGTGTGGCTAGTCTCAACTGCTAGAGAAGGAGGAATAAACTGGTATTAAGCAAGTCTGGATATGTGTTACTGTAACAAAAAAAGGTGACTTAAAACTACTGTTGGTCTTTTTCTTGTATGCAAGTAAAATTCCAGATAGAAGTGAAGCAGTGGGACAAAATATGTTTCTCCTAAATTTTTCTAAATGATGTGTTCAGAACTCTTTTGTGAAGCCTAGGAAAATTCCTGAGGAGAGGAGGTATTGGAGGAACATGATGAATGCCTGTGGTCTT